TTGGAAACCTCATACTTTGACAAATTAATCAACACTCTCCCTCGTGTCAGATACTTTACTGACTTTGGCAGATATGCCTCAGGCTAATTTGACTGCATATCAGTGACTTGATCATTATCTGCTCAGCTCACTTTCCAGTGCAGGTGCTCCCTTCTAGGGTGATCTTTAATAAGATAGGTTGTAATCTAAAATAGCAACGACGTGAAAGAAGATAAAATAAAACCCTTTGTAGAGAGTTGAAGATATATCATTTCATAGCTCATAATTTTAAGTGGGGAATTAAGGCATGATGAATATACATTTTTAATGTAATCACTTTAGAATTTTAGTTACAACTTTTATTTTAGCAGAGGGATTGTGTATTGGAGTTTAGAAACGTTTTATTTTTACGAATGGAGTCTGATTCTCCAGGTAACTGCATATATAATTTATATTACTTTATTATTTACAAATGATCTTAAATTAAGCATACGTCCATTGAATCGTATTAAGGAATTGACTAGTAAGGTGACACTGCCCTGTTAAATCTGACACAGTGTATATACAACGTAGTGGAAAGTAATTCAACATATGTGAAAAGTAACCAAATGAACCCCAAAAAGGGATAAAGTTTTAATGAAAATTATAGTCAACATTAACAATAAACCCACAATGTAAAAATGCACTTTTGGAAGAATTTGAGCAGAGACAATGTTAGAGAAGCTTTAGAATCGACTCGGATATTTTCTGTTTTATGGTTATAATTATGGCTTTGTGGAATACAAAAAGAGGTCATAGTGGGAGATAATGTGTCCCACTTACTACCAGCAAGAGCAGGGAGTGAGAATATGAAGGATGATAATGACCCTGATTACTGACTCCACACGTTGTTCGTTTGTCTTAGTGATCTTACCCTTTTACAGGCACAGAGGCACTGCTACAAAAACGGTTCATAGTATGTATGTTGCCGACTTAAAACACAGTTCAAAATAAGTAAAATTATGTTTGCTTCACTGTCATTGATTTGTAGGCATTCAACAAAATTGTGAAAGTATTTAACATAACAACAGTTAAAAAATCATGACATGTTAAAGTCAGACAAACTGCATCGCTAATAGAAAAAACCATGGCGGATTTAACGGAACAATAAGGGGCTGACAAATGCTGCAACAATATAATATGTCGCCACAGCTTTATTTGTTATTTTGCAACGGTGATTGAAAACAACCTTACAGATAGATGCTTGAAACACACATGAAGCTTATTTTCCGTTTTTTTCTTATGCAATTAAAGGATAGAAATTATATTTGTATCATCATACCTAGTGAAAATATACTTGGCTAAATGTTGACAAATATGAAATGCACCTGCTAACCAAACATATTTTAGATTTGGATGTGGCTTTTCTAATAATACACAGTATGGCCTCTACACTATTTTGTAAGGATTACATTTTTTTACTTCAAAAGAAGCTTATGCTTCAATTATGATTAGCATAAGGAAGAGAAACACAGACTGGTTCAATACAAATAGGTTTATAGTTTAAGGCAGCTGATGCGTGATTTTCGATGAGATGCATTTTGGTCTGGCAACTAATCTGTGTGGGTCACTCCCTTCATCCCTTAGTCCCTTTTTCCCCAAGAAAAAAGCTCTTTTAAGGAAAGCTGGAACCAAGTGCTATTTGAATGCAACGCTAGTTATCGGTTAAGGTATAAGGGTGATTTTAATTCTGGACGCCTTAATTGCATTCATACTTTTATTATGAACCTAATCGTTTGGGAAAACAGCTTTATGTTACTGTCACTAGTCTCAAGTATCTCAAAACTAACATTGTCAATAGTAATTGTTGTGTTTTGACTGATGCAAATGAATAGATTATTTTCAAAATAATGACTGAATAATTAGTCATAATTAAGTATGCTAACAAGCACTGATTTATTAACTGATTTCTCCATACCGGCTTTGTCAGTGTTCACTGCATGCCAGGCTTTATTTTAATGATACTGTCTGTCCCAATCAGTGTCAAGCCTTTCCTGTAGAGAAAAAAAAGTTAATTATGAAACTTTCTCCGCGCCATGCTCTGTTAACGCTCTTTCTATCTAACATATTTCTGCATTGAGTGTCATAATAAAGCAGTAATAAGGAGGGGATACTCTGCACAGTGATGATAAGCCCTGGGGTGATGCAGCTAAAGGAATTACTAGTAGAAGTACTTTACCTAAGTGCTCTTCATTACTCTTAATAATTAATCATGGTTAAGTGTATCAAGAGCCTATACAGTGATTACGTTTCGGGGTACATTTATACATCCATTGTACAGAAGTATAATTTCACATGTGGAAATGACAGGTATGATGATACTAATAGACTTCACTTTTTCAGAAGCAAGATATAAGAAATAAGCTCATGCATTTAAAATTCATTGAATGTCAAACTTGTGTAAGGAGAATCAGCCAAAAAAACCCCTCAAACTATTCATCTGAATAAAAGAAACTATCTGACATGAATAATATTTGGCAGTTGAAACTTTCTTGAAACATGTATATCATATAAAACAAATGTGCTCCATTTGACCTATCTGTTACATATTCCTTTATGTTTTAGTTGTTTGAGACAAACAGCAAAGGTTGAGACAGGATGGCCAACTCATGGAAATGTTGTAAGACTTGGCATCCAATTCCTTTTTCTATGATGCATTCTCGATATTCATTCGGAAATTGTTTTAAGGACAGAACTGTTTAGTATTTGCTAATACATCAGAAGATTTTTCTTTGGGCGCCTGCAAGCCTGAACTCAAAGAAATCCATGAAAATGCAAATGGAGGCAGTTTTATTAAATGGTTATATGACTTCTTCAAAAACAATACAACTCACAGTATTCATAGCTGTGATGGGACAGTGTCTTTTGTTCTATATCCATAAATAACTGAGACCACCTTGTGTTTGAAGTCAGAGACATGCATAAATGTTGTAGCAGTATCATACCGATGTACTTCCGGATGTGGTCTCCCTCAGTAGCTAATTAAAAATACATCTTTTTGATCTCATAATAGCCTTGCTGCCAGGGTAAACAAAGCAAGCGACAATGACACAATAATGGATTTTAGCATTCTAACAGAAGATACTTAAATACAGGTTCATTATTTATCCATTTTTTTGCAACATCTTTGGGTATGATATTAATCAAAACATCCCAAGCCCTCTATGAACCTATAGTGATTGTTCGGTATGATAAACTATTTTTCGTCCTTGAGGAGTCCAGTGATGAGATTGGGGAGTGAAGTTAAGAGAGAAAAACACATTTCCAATCAACATTTCGAAAAATGAAAGTCATTGTACACAAGAGTAGACGGCCCTGTCCTCGCATTCAGCGAGTGACATATCACTTTGTCCTTTCGGTCTTGATTGACAGATAAAGTCAAGCCGAGTGTAAATCTCATGTTTTTTTCATTGTTTTTGTCAGTATTTATACATTTGAATATTTATTTCGCAATGTCGCTTATCGTTTTATACAACACCTTGGATCTACAAATCTTGGCAAAGTGAAGTATACGAAATTGCACATGCAAGTTACAGTAACGTCACTATGGCAACAAGTAATGTTGGTGAAGTATATGTATCGTTAGGCAGTAGGCACCTCTTTTTTTTACCCAAAACTTAATTTAAAATAAGTACATTCAATCAGTACTGCACATTCAAGTACAGCACCCATAAATAGAGCTGACAACAGAGTACATACAACAACAACAAATTAATGAAAATCACAAGAAACCATGCAATGAGAGACAAATGAATATTCTAAATTTGTAAAAAAAATAAAGAAAAAGAAGAATGAAACGTAGCTGAATATCTTTAAATAAAGACATACATTATAATTTAATTACATTTGAAAAAGAAAGTTGTGAGCTTAAAAATTCTGTTTGTCAATAAAGACTTCTACCAATAAAATGTGAGAACATCAACAGTTTAGAAATCCCATCAAACAAGTTGTATACCGTATCTGGCCTATAGGTGATGATTTTAGTAGCACATGTAGTGACGTTTTTGAATATTTTCCCACAATAAATTCTCACTGAAATTATCCAAACGTAGATCTATGTTTCTTCAAAACAACTGTTGCAGTATAACCTATAATGCCAATAATGTCTGACGTGAGATTGTACTTACTTCACTGTATCTGACAGGGAATTTAATGTTGTTGTTTTTTGTATGCCAATCTTTTTTCGGGACCTTGCACTTTATAGACGGTCCCTTCGTTCGCACTCGTCTCACCTCTGCTGCTGCAGGTGAGACCATAGACTGGTTGAGAGACCTGAGAGTCTGAGACCAATCTTATTTCTACAGCTCAGATCAAAATTACGTCGTAAACCCGTACCTGACTACGGTTGTTAAGTGACGTCGTAGCTACAGTAGCGTCAGGTAACCATGGAGATATATCCTCTGTGTTTGGCTGTCCTACAAATGCGTCTTACTTTTTTGACTTGCTGCTCGTACGCCAAATACGTACGCCGTATGCCAAACGTTACTTTTCCGTGAACTGTAACAGATATGTAGTAAGCTATCTATAAATTGTATATTCTAAACGTTTAACCATTGGTGTGTCGTCACGTAAAATGTTCAGGAATAATTATCAGGTACGTTTATTTTAACCCAACTGTTTTTGGCCATCTTTGAACGCAACGCTCTTTGTAAACAGTAAACACCTGTATCTTTAGGCTAATTAGCTTAATGTGTAGCATGACATTAGCTGGAGGCTTTTACTCACAACCCATCGTGTATCCTCGCAGGGTGGACCTGTGGTTGAGATATTCAGTGGACAAGGAAAAGATCCTGTAGTAAAATGGAAACTTTGTGGAGGTCCGTCCTTCATACACAAGGTGAGTTTTCAGAGTTGCTAGTTTACCCTACCACATTCACATGGTGATTTTACTAGCCCACATGTGCTCTACGTCAAACTAGCTCACAGGCCCTGGTAACTAAGTACATTTACTCAAGTACTGAACTTGATTACAATTATGATATACTTGTACTTTACTTGAATATTTCTGTTTATGCTACTTTGTACTTCTATTCCACTTCAATTCAGAGATAAATCGTGTATTTATACCCCACTACATTTATTTAATACCTTAAGTTTCTTTGCAGATTTGGACTAATGATGTGAAATATAATCAACACTTAAATAAGACTTTAGTTACACCTGGATTAACATTCAAGCTGCAGTATACAAAGTCCTTAAAACTAGCAGCACCTTTACCAGCCTTGATAACACATGAATGCACCAAGAATCACAATCAAAACATATACTATTGTTTTGTAATGGACCAATGTGCTTAATAAGTACTTAATAAGTATGTTGTGATGCTAATACTTGTGTACTTCTACTTGAGTAACATTATGAATGCAGGACTTTTACTTGTAACAGAGTATTCCTACACTCTGGTACTTCTACTTTTACTCAAGTACAAGATCTGAGTACCTGCCTAATGCCTAAAGTTCACACAGTCTGAATAGTTACCACAAGGTTTAACTAACCCCCCTCGATAACTTGCTGCATTGAAACAATACATTTAGGCTGTAAACCTACACTTTTTTACATTGTACAAGTTTCCATGGGTTATATCCTTTACAACCGTAACCCATAAGAACCCGGACCCATTTCTACTTTTGGGGAAATTAAGGGGAACATAATTTAGACTAGACAAGAACCGCCCCCCCCCCTCTGGCTTACATTTTATATTAAAATTCTGTTCTTGACCCGTAGCCTTTTTTTAAATTTCAAAACTCATGCTTACATAAAAAAAGTCTGCTCACAATGATGGCTGTAGCCCTTTGTTAGTACACAACAATGGTCACTTCACTGAGCGAGGCCTTGTACTTAGCAAGCTCTCTGATGTATTATGTTCTCCTTTTAGGAGTACAATAAAGAAGTCAGAGGCTTTGTTTACTGTCTGGAGGGCAGCAGCCAGACAGTCAAGATGCAAATGCCAGAGAATGGGAAAATGTCTCGTAAGTAAACACACTTGCACCTAATAGTACATGACATTTTGGCTTCCCACATCTTAATAGTAATTTATTTATTTGCCTATACTTTTGTTAGTTGGACTTCTTCAAAGATTCTTGGTCCTTCAAGTGCATATTGAACAGTGCAAGGATTTTTCCATTGAGCTTTTGTAAGTACAGCAAGCTAAAACGTTTTCTGTTCAAAATACTTAATCTTTTATTGCATGAACATCTCAGTAAATCTTTTATTCTGTGGTTGATAAATGAATTTCTTAACTGCAACTGTGGCTCAATATGGTAGAGACATCAATCTCTAATGGAGTGAATACAAACTTTGTTACACAAGGAACAAAATATTATAATATAATGTGAAATCTAAAAAATATGAATGTAACTGGAGTGCATTCCCCTCAGACTACCTAAATAAATAAATATAAACAGTTTGTTGAAAGCCCTTGAGCCTCCTGGGATAATGACTTTATCAGCAATGCCTATTATGTACTCTAATTTGCTTAAATAATCATTTATGATTAAGATGTTATTGTAAAACATAATATGATCTGCATGGATGTTTGTTGATAGAAATAAGAATGCCACTGCGATTTACCAGTGTTCTCATGATCAATAAAACACTGTTTGTGCACTCTACAAATGTCTACAGATATAAAGTATCTCCCTGTGCTCAAAACTCCTGATGTGTATTCTCTTCATAGTAAAATATAATTCATTACGGTCTCAGGCTCTGGTTTACAGTATCGATGCTGCTGTTTAGAAAGTGATATGGCATGCAGGCCCTCTATAAAACAAGGAGGACATACTGTCAGAACTTTAAATCATTTCTACACTACAAAGTTGCTAACCTACTATTTTACACGCACACTAAATCATTTTAAGAATATGAGGTAATATTGCTGGCGTTGCTGTTCCATTAGAGAGTGCCATGACAGCTGATTTCACGAGGCTACATTAAAGTAAAAGCTCCTTTTTAAGAGCTAACCTTATATAGACCAATAAAAGCTTGTGGTATTTTCTACTCAGTACTTCCTTATGACACCATTTATGCTGATGATTATTTATATTTTCTTGTCTGTTATTTACAGGATAACCGATTTAGAGCACCTGAAAAGAAGACTTTATTTATCAACAGTACATAAAGAGTTGTCTGCCACACATTTGCATGCAAAGATACCTCTCGTAGGATTGAAACGCAGTGTCGTGAGTATCTTTTACATCCTTGACATGTTCTATTCTCAGAGTTCTTTCAGATATGTGTTTGTTTGTTTTATATCTCGTGAGCTTATAACTATAGTATCGTATTGTTTCTTTTGTCTCAGTGGTCTACTTTGTGCATCGACCTTATATCATTCACCAGTGAACTGTTCAAGGGGTTTTTGACATTGGATGGCATCACTTTGTTTGCAACCTGTAAAGTCCGCAGAATCTTCACCATGAAAACAGTGCCTTCCGAACTCTCAGGCGATGGTAATGCTTTAAACAAAACAGGTAGGCTGATTAAACAAATGTTTAATCCGTAAAGTGCCCTCCCTGACTTGTTATTTAAGAGATAATGGCTTTGCACTGAAACTTCTAATCAATGCTCTTCCCTTTAAATAGGTTTAGTCTGTCTTTATTTGGAACTGTGTGTATGTGTGTTGGGAGAGAGAGAGAACAAGTTGGCTGTTTCTATGGTAGTTGGCTGAGAGCGGTGGTTTTTGTTCAACTCTAAAATGGCTCAGCAGAGCAAACAGCTGCACTCAGCACTGGCTGCTTACTGCACACATACGTTACTTGCCAGATAAGACAGCTTGTCATTTGTATTTTTCTGTTGACAAAAGTGCTACATGTATGTTATGTCAATAATAAGTGTTTGGGTTTATTGTCTGATTTGACTTAATCTGAGCATGTTCTCTTTTTTTTATCAAGATATGTTTCTCAGTGGAGCCGGTCTCATGGACTCGGTCCCTCGCAGCTGCCAATTCCCGTCTGATGTAAACTACGTTACCCAAGTGTTGAACATGAAGAATTTACGGAAGGCAGACATGAGGGCTGGACTGTTGAGCTCTGACTGTGGTGGGTAAGAGAAAATCACATGATTGTAAAATGCTAAACATTGGTGGATAATATCTTAAGTACATTTACTTAAGCACTATATTAACATTTTTGTGGTACCTTTATTCTTCAGATTTTCCATTTTATATTTCACTACATTTGAAAGAAAAGATTGTATTTTTTAATAGATTTTTCAGACAGCAATAATATTTCAGCTATAACAACAGCATCAAATATAAGCTTGGAAATGAAGCTCCCTTATCCTTTTTTTACTTTTCATTCAAAGGGCTAGTGCATACGATTAAGTGACTGAATACAGCTCAATTATCCAGAGTTTCACCGCTCTGAGCTACTGTAGAAACATGGAGACATTGACCCGCTGCTAATGTACATGTGAAGGGCTCATTTTAGGCTGATGAAAAAAATAACAATTCTTAGCTTCAGGTGGTTATAAACGAATACAAATGAGTGTGTCACACGGGACCCTGGGTAGCTCAGTTGTGAGCTGGCTGTCTTCTGCCCAGTACGCGGACTCCAGAGCCTTCAGAAGGTTTCAGGCAAAGTTATTCCCTCTGTCTCCCCCTTTCAACTCTGCATCTCCAATAAAGGCGAACGCAAGAAAAAATATCTTTAAAAATAAAATAGTGATGAATATTATACTTTCGCCAATAGATCCCCTTTATTCATACACACTGCTCCATTTAAACAAATGTAATCTTTAATGCATCATAACATGTTTAAATGTATAACAAGTACTGTATACTGAAGGTTTGCTATTATATATTTACAACACAAGATATCTATAGGTTGCTTGTGTAACCCCAGTTCTCAGAGTAACATGAAGTGAGATGTCTCACTATGGGATGCGCCTCATCGCGGAGCAAACAGAAGCATCAATCTCATTACGCCAATCCTGATTGGCTGGAGATCTTGACGTCAGCGTCAGGGAAATCACCCCCTATAAGTAGCTTGCGCCACAACGCATGCGCCATTCAAAATAAGCACCTCTTCTCGCTTCACCATAGCAAGGAGGGCCGTCTGGTGAGACATCTCACTTCATGTTACTCTGAGAACTGGGGTTACGCAAGTAACCTATAGTTCTCATTCATAACACTCCGTTCGATGTCTCACTATGGGAAATTGTAGCTCCCGTATTGCCAGACGAGCTTATCTCGAAAATCACCAAACCAACCAGAACTTAACAGGTAGAGCTCTGACTCAACCAGGTGCCCAGCACTGCTTGAGTCACACTGGGAGCAGAACGTCCAGCCTGTTAGGAGGCAGACAAAAGTGAGCGGCGAGGACCAGCTCGCCGCTGCACCAATGTCTTTGATGGGAGACATCCTGGACAGAGTCCAGAATGCAGCCAGACTCTGAGTCGAAAGAGCTCGCGGACCCGAGGGTGCCTGCGAACTCTGACTCGTATGAGCCCCAAAGCAATTGCTTCCACAGACCAGTGGGAGAGCCGTTGCTTAGTAACAGGCTTGCCCTTATAAGGGTTAGCCCAGGACACAAGGGGTTGGTCATTATGACAAAGCACCCTTGATCTGTCCCTGTACGTGCGTGAAGCACGGGCTGGACACGGCAAATCCGGCCGCTGTTCCCCGGAGGAATACAGTGGCGGGGGGGATGCCTTAATGTCAAATGTGGTACCCGAACCGACCGCCTTAAGATAAAGGCAGGGTCAGGCTTCAACCACACTCTGTTTGCCCTGGGGCAAACTGAGTGCATGAAAACTGTACAGATAGTGCATGAGTGCCACTGGCTCGCTTGGCAGCTGCCAGGGTCAGCTTCATGTCACACTGTATTTAGATTGTACCACTCACGGGCCAGGCCCATAGAGCCAAGCGCTCTGGGTGTGGGTGAAAGATCGCCCCCCCCGCTTGGGGACAGTATGTCCCTGCGTAGTGGGAGCTGCCATGGCTGCCCGCACAGCAGCTGATATATCTCCGCTAGCCAGTACATAGCTGGCCAGTGCGGAGCTATCAGGATAAGTGTGTGGCGTTGCTCTCTCACTCTGGCCAGAGTTGGGGGTATCAGAGCCAGGGGTGGTAACGCGTACAGAAGGCCCGGGGGCCAATTGTGCGCGAGTGCATCCACGCCTAACGGTGCATTTAGATCGCGCATCGAAAAGAACAGCTGACACTGAGCGTTGTCTTTCGATGCGAACAGATCCACCGCGGCTCTGCCGTAACGCACCCACAGCTGGCTCACAATCCTTGGATGTAGAGTCCAGTCTGCATAAAGTGGTATACCTCTGGACAGTAGATCTGCCCCGAGGTTCCTCACTCCCGGTACGTGCGTCGCTCTCAGAGAGAGGAGACGCCTACCGCTCCATAGGATAAGTTTGTGCGCCAGTGTGTGTAACTGGAGAGAACGCAAACCCCCTTGGCGGTTAATATACGATATTGTGGTCGTATTGTCTGTCCTCACGAGGACGTGATGTCCCCTGAGGAAAGGCAGAAAGCGTTTTAGGGTGAGAAATACCGCTAAAAGCTCCAGGTAATTTATGTGCGCCCGCTGGGGGTCTCTGCTCCAGAGACCCCTCACCGGGCGACCTTCATAAATACCTCCCCAACCTGTCAGACATGCGTCCGTGGTGACCACTTTCCGTGAAAGGACAGCACCCATAGGCACACCTCGTACTAGAAAAGTCGGGTGCAGCCAGTGGCGCAGTGCCATTACGCATTTCACAGTAACCATCACTCTCCGCACGCCATGGCGCGCAGGGTTTAGTTTTAGGGCGGCCACCCAGCGCTGAAACTCCCTCATGTGTAAGCGTCCCAGTCGTACGACCAGGATGGCTGACGCCATGAGCCCCAGCAATCGCAGGCATGATCTGAAGATAACATGTTTGCGCAGCTGGAAAAGAGCGAGACAAGCTCTGAAAGCTTTCACTCTATCCGCTGACAAGCGAGCTGAAAAGGGCACCGAGTTCAGGTGTAAACCCAGGAAGAGTATAGTCTGCGCGGGGCACAACATGCTCTTCTCTGTGTTTATTATGAAACCCAGGTTGAGCAGGTGCTTTACGAGGACATTTGTCTGCGTAACAGCCTCCTGCTCCGACTGTGCGAGAAGCAGCCAGTCGTCCAGGTAGGTCGCCAGGCGAATACCCTGTTGTCTTAACGGGGCTATCGCGGCTTCCGTACATCGTACAAACACCCTTGGACTGAGAGACAGACCGAAGGGGAGTACTCTGTATTCATAACAGATCCCCTGAAATGCGAATCTCAGATATTTCCTGTGTGGGTAATATACTGGGATGTGAAAATACGCATCTTTCAGGTCGACTGATGTGAACCAGTCGTCTTGTCGCACGAGCCGCAGCAGAGATGTGTGAGTGAGCATTCTGAACTTATATCTTCTTAGATATTTGTTCAGAGCCCTCAAATCAAGTATTGGCCGAATTCCGTTCCCTCCCCGTTTGGGAACGAGGAAGTACTTGGAATAGAAGCCGCCCTGACTCTGCTCGGCGGGTACAATAGATATAGCCCTCTTTTCTAGGAGAGAGAGAATCTCTTTCTCCAGAATATGGGCTGACTCTCCTCGGGCCTGCGAATGCAGAATGCCCGAGAAGCGAGGGGGGGTGACAGCGAATTGGAGTCTGTAGCCCCGTGTTACTGTCTTGAAAACCCAAGCAGATGATGTGAGCATCTTCCACTGCATGCTCCTTTAGAGCCAGTGGAGATGTCACATCTCTTCCCCTCTGAGTCTCTATTTGTTGTGTTATGGGGCCCTCTAGTGTCTGAACACAGTGGTGCCCCCTTTCGACAATCCCCACCGACACTGCGCATGCGCATGACGGTGGTGCCTTCACAACCCCAGCCGGCACTGCGCATGCGCGTGGCGGTGGTGCTTTTAAAACCCCAGCCGGCACTGCGCATGCGCGTGACGGTGGTGCCTTCACAGACCCGCCTGTAATCCGCCTTTTGAGAGATGCCGAAGCTGCTCTCAGAAGGGGAACAGTTGGCGGGCTGTTTATTGGTTTTATTGTTTTTCTTATCATTTTTTTGAGCTGCGCCCTCGGCCTGAAGCCTGGATGCGTCAGCGGCAAATGTTTAATGACAGAGGAACAAACAGATTTGTGACATGTGTTTTTGCGGACTTGAGGATGGTGTTGAGGCATCTCTCGAGGCGGCGGGAACACATTTAGAGCTGGGGAACCGTGGACTTCCAGCTCTGTCACGGAGGGGAGAAGGAGGGGCTGTCACGCCGCTCGCTTCTTCTTCCTCGCCTGCTGGCCGAAATTCTGGGTTGGCTGCGCCTGAGCTGCAGCCGGAACCGGAGATTTTCTGGGCCAGCTCGCCCTCGTCTCCAGCCTGGGCTGGGGACTCGGGGCGGGCTGCGACCTCTGCGTTTTCGGTGTTTTAAAACCGAGCAGGGTTCAAGGCAGCTTGGGCGAAGGACTGCTGCTGCGAAGGCAGCGGCTGGACCCTTCGAGGGAGGCAGAGGTGGAGTGCCTCGTCCTCCCTCTTTTTCGACTCACACCTCCTTTGCATGGAAGCAAGAGCGGAGCCGAAAATTCCCTCGGGAACGATGGGCATATCCAGCACATCCTCCTTTTCCCGGTCTGGGAGGTTGGTGAGGTTGAGCCATCTCGCTCTTTCCTGCACCACCATGATCCCCATTGCCTTACCCGTGGCCTGGACGGCGCAGCGTTGGACACGGAGACAGATGTCTGTGACCGCCGCCATCTCGTCCAGAGTGGCTGCACCCGGGTTACCCGACAGGTCCTCGCAGAGCTCCGCTTGGTAAGCGGTTAGCAGCGAGGCCACATTCAGGGCCCTGGCGGACAACGCTGCGGCTTTGTAGGACCGTTCAGTCATTGTCGACTGAAATCGGTCCGACTTTGCCGGCAGCGTGGGGTTCCTGCTTGGTGACGGGCCCATCCTCGGTAGGAGGTGGGCTGCTACCAGCGGTTCCATGGGCGGTATGCGGAGCAGGCCGAGCTTCTCCATTCCGTCACAGTCTAGGGAGGAGGCACCCTGGATTGGGACCTTGTTGCTGAAGGGCCGGTCTCTCCACGAGACCGACACCTCATCCAACATCTCCGGGAAGACCGGAAGGAGTTGTCTCTTTGTCCGCGCTGCTTGGGGAAAATGTTTCCCTTCGTAGCGGGACCTGGAGGTCTCCTTGGCCATTTCAGGCCACGGGATGTCGAGTCTGGCCGCAGCGCGTTTGCACACGGCCTGCAGGTCCATACTCAGACAGGGCGAAGCTGGTATGCTATCGTCTGGGAGAGCAGCCCTCGTTCCAGGCTTTGCAGCCTGAGCCGATGACATGAAGATGTCCTCTTCATGTTCATCCGACTCGGACAGGAGGAACACCGAGGCGTCCTCTTCGTCCTCGTCGTAATCCAGCTCGAGGACATCCTCCGCGGGTGAGACCATGGTGAGGTCTAACTGGGAGCCCCAGCTCGGTAAAGCGTGGGGTCCCGTTCCCGCGTGTCTTGCCGCCACCGGGTCCCGGCCTGCCAGGGCGCGGGAATCCGGTTCTGCGGCCATCGCAGATACTGAGCCCCAGACCGACATGGAGAGGGGTTCACTCTCTGTGGCAGATGCCCCCGCGTCTTGACTGCCGGCCGGCAGGTCAGAGGACATGGGGGGTTCCTGCTCCGACAGGCTAGCTTGGCGTGCTAGCCGTCGGCGGAGGCTCTTTACGGTGAAGCGGACACAATGTCCGCACGAGCCGGGGTTGTCGATAGCGCCTCGGGCGTGTTCCAGCCCGAGGCAGGACGAGCAGACCTGGTGTGTGTCTGTGCCCGAGATCTTCAACCCGCAGCCGCAGAGTCGAGCCACCGAGTCCCTGACTCCTCTGGTGTGAGGGAGAGGGGCGTCCATCTTGTTCGCCTCGTGGCGTGGAGAGGACCCGCTCTCAACAGGTAGGTTGGGAGAAAAAGAGGTAACCACCCTGTCCTTAATCCGGAGAAAAGGACGGTGTGGGTCTTTTATTCCCAGAGAATACTGACTGGTGTGGCAGTATGCTCCTTTTAATCCTTTCCTCCTCCGTGTGGAAGAGAAAAGAAAAGACTTCCTCGCTACCGTGGTGTCGGTAGGGAGGGAGCAAGCTAACGCTAGCTTGAAAAAATCAGACCTAGCTTACTTTCCGGGGAAAGAGAGCGGCGAGGTCGATTTCAACAATAACTAGCGTTAGTAATTACCGTCTTCCTGCGAAGCAGAAGGAGTAGCCGGCAAGCGCCCGTCGACCGAAATGGATATTTGGGTTCAGTCTGTGGACCGTGAAGCTTGTCCGGCTACCATAGAGATGTGCTCTGAAGCGAGAAGAGGTGTTTGAATGGCGCATGCGTTGTGGCGCAAGCTACTTATAGGGGGTGATTTCCCTGACGCTGACGTCAAGATCTCCAGCCAATCAGGATTGGCGTAATGAGATTGATGCTTCTGTTTGCTCCGCGATGAGGCGCATCCCATAGTGAGACATCGAACGGAGTGTTATGAATGAGAACTGCCGTTATCAATGAAACAGTTCATATACATAGAGATGGTGTAGAAATTGATGCACATAAATAAACGGCTTCCTACGATTTCAGACTGGGATTTTAATCTTTTTATTTTCCTTCCATTAAATGCCTTTAGTCCTCATTTTTATGTTCGTGTGCACCTCACCTGTACTCGGAGAGCTGCAATTATCTCCTCATATAAAAAGACATGCACCAGTAATCCAGCTCTGCCGCCTCTGTGGCCTTTCTTATCAGCGCTTATTTATTTGTTCTGACAGCTGTCTAAGTCATGTTGAGTCAACTGGCAATGCCCATGGAAGAGAGCAGTAACCACACACAACAAATAGCTTTTCCTAATTAGCATCAGCATTATTAGCATGACATTTCTAATCATAATTAAAACGATTGGTATTAAACTAGGCATCCAATTTAAGTGTGACAAAGTTGCTTGGTGAATATTGTTGCTTCACTACCCAATCTGTCAGAAACTGTTAAAAGTAAGCGGCGGCCATATTTAACGCGCAGCAGCAAACAAAACGTGATTATCTTATAGATATCTAAGACATTCTGTTTCCAGGTCAATGAATCCATGAATTCCACGCTCAAAATAAATAATGATCATCAATTCATCATATGTTTTTTGATTTCTGGGATTCTGCAGATTGAAAATGCACAACAAAACTCTGAAACCATGATCACTTTCGAGTCAAATCTGCTGTATCAAATGAGCGTGACGAGTGCATCAGCTTGGCTCTGTCTGTATCAGCTTGGCAATCCTATGTGTTTTGTGTCTGATTTTTGCTCTTATGACGATCAGACAGTGTGTTTTTCTGTTAGCACCAGCAGACGTGGTCCTAATGACACAAAAACACCGATGGCGAACTATTTTAAGAACACTATAATAACATTAAAAAATAATAATAATACAAAATATAGTAAAATCAAATAAAGCAGTATTTACATTGAAATAGGATGATATAAAATATGTGCAGTTAAAAAAAACAGATATTGTCAACATTGTGTGCATTAATGCAATGCATAGAGTCTGCGTTGTGGCTGAGGTAAAGCAAAGGTTAGATTATGTATGAGAAAATATGCAAGAAAAATGGAAATCTTAATTAAACAACAAAGGTCTATGATTGAAATTTCGTTTCAGTTCCTGATCAGTCTACCACTGCCAGATCTACCGGTTATAGAAGACCCAGGCCTCAGGGTGTTTTACACACAGCCTCAGGCTCCAGGGTTTCAGGGCCACCCCCTCAAACTGGAAGAAAAAGCAGAGCAGCCTCAGAAGAAATGGATAAAAGTCTTCTCTTTGTATCGAATGTGGTAAGCTCATGAATCCCATAATATCAAACATTACTATATGTCATACATGACTATAAATACAAAATAGATCATGTTGTTTTGAACTTGTTTTCCTTCTCTTGTTGTTCCCTGCAGGCATCCCCGTCTAGTAAAATGAACCAAAAAGTTGCTGCAGAAAGTGAGAGCAGTGCCAAACTGAGGGATCATTTATCACACGGAGAACCTTCCCAAATTCTTCTCCAGGGTAGAATCGAATAAGAGTTCGATGTGTTGTTTTATCTCAGCTGCATGCTTCCTACACTACAACTATACATGCCCTCGTCAGCTATTATATCACCAGATATATTTGTATCTTTATTTATTTAAGGCGTTGTATACAGACTTACTTACATGAGGATGGCTTTAAATTCAACACAATGAAAATCTGTGTAGGAAGAAGCTGACATTTCATTTTCTTCTACCTGTTTTTCTGTGGATAAAAGACTAAACTTTATTATTAATATAAAAAATATACAGCATTATAGTTCATCTGATTATTTGTAACCAACTTAATGTTTTGTGTGTGTATATATATATACACACAAAACATTAAGTTGGTTAAAAATAATCAGATGAACTATAATGCTTAACACCTATATAAGTATATACCTCGTATATAAATATATGTATTAATTATATTTATATATAAATATGCAGTGTTAAACAAGCACATCTGTATATCACACTTACTGTAGAATAAAGCAGCCATTACGCTCACTCACTGAATCACAACATGGTTTAGAGTTTAGGGGGGTGGCCAGTGTTAAATACAGAACAATAAACACCGATAACAAGAAAATGCTGTAAAGTAATTAAAATATTAAGTGAAAGGAGGTTTGTTAGTCTTTAAGTGTATTGTATTCCTTTTCCTGAGATCAGCTTCTAGGTTTAAAAAAAATGGAGATTGTTCAATGTCAGCTTTGGCTATTATTTTTCCTAATGTGTGCACACATTACCAACCAGAGCGGTTTTTCTTTTTGAAGCCAGTGAGTGTTTCCTTACAAAGCCCATGATCGACAGATGATTCTCCATCGCTGATTGGATGTTAAATCCCACACTGGCCATTTTTTTGTATGTAGTTGTAGGTCTCTAGACCCAATAGGAAGCAGCAAACATGTAAACAGATCATTGGAAAGAAGAAATAAATAGATATATTTACAGTCTTAGTTGTAATGTGGACCAAGAAGCAGAATGCAGAGGTAGAGCAGTTATCGCAAAAGGCAGATTATTTGGCCTTTGTTCAAAAGCTCAGTCATTAATAGGTAAGCAATCAGCGAGACCGACAGAGTCAGAAAGGGAGCTGGCTGTGATGCATAAATAACGCACATGACAACATTTGCCAAAGAGAGCGACCTGTTTTTAAGTGACTGATAGGCGGTAATAAGGAGCAGAACATTTGAAATTGAACTCAAATGGGAGGCTGAACCCAGCACAGAAACATAGCTGACATGTTTTTAGAAAATTCCAGAGAATTCAAGTTTATTCCTGTAGCTAGAAAGTGTTTTTGGAAAAGCAAGGCTTACTTTTTCACTGCTCAGCATTGGCTTATAGAGAAGATACCAATATCATTGCGACCCTACCCTCATTCATTCATAACGCAAAAACGTCAAACATTATAATTTGAAAGAACCAGACTTAAATATCCCTTTTTCTCGTATGCAAACAAAGCATATCAACCAAGCTCTACTTGTTTGTCTTGCAGTGAAAATGTTATAAACCGATCAAGGGACATGACGTAAGCTTTGACTTGGTACCTCCTAATATCTTGTACCCTGGGTGACTGAGAAACATCATAGATGGAAATCACTCCGTTGGTTTTATTGTAAGGCTTGTGAATGTGATGTGCACCGATGCAGATCCGGTGTATAGCTGCATGACTTAAAGTGCGCTTCCTGCTGTAAAAGCGCACACTGCATTCCTCTAATCATATCTTCTTGGCCTTAAGAATGCATCCGATTATTCTTGTGCATCAGTTAAAGCATTACATATCAACCAACAAAACAAGATCCCAGCTCTGGCACAGTGTATTCTCCCAAGCACCTAATAACAGCTTTTTCCGTTGGTAATGCACCATCCTTTGAGCATGACTGAATGCAAAAACCGATGATTACAATTCCTTAATCAGCTGAACATAATGTAGCAGGATGTATTCTCCCTGCACTGAATGAATGTAAGAAGCTCAGTTACTGAAATGCCTTCATTAATAAGGACTTTCACAGTGCATAATCATTTCACAGATATGCTTCTGGCAAGCTATAATAACATTGTTTGACTGTTTTGTGTTATAAAGCTGTTCTAATGTTGAAAGGACTCTGTAGGAACACTTGGCAGTTTACAGCCCCATCCCCCGAAAGACAGAGTGTTTGACAAGCAGGGATCTAAGAAGCTCCGGGTGTACAGTGCAGGAAGAGGTGAGATCACTTCATGTTGGAATACACAGTTTTAACGTGTTTACAGGTTCAACACCGTAGGTTATTTAATTCTGATTAACAGCCTCTCCAGATGCTGTTCCTGGTGGCAACAGAAAGAGAAGTAAAACCAGGGAGAAAGGCAATTCCACAGCCAGTAGGCAAAATAGCGAGCAACAACCCCTGACCCTAACAGAAACTACAAAGCCCCTAACAGCAGGGGAGGCTATCGTCTGCTGTGAATAGACAGGGAGCGTAGCAGCAGATGGAACAGCAGGGAGATGTGTGCACTTTCATACTGAGTGATGGTTTGAAGAGTAAAAAGATAGTGAGTGATGGGACAAAGGAGAATAATATGCATACTGAGTGATAATGGTTTCTACTTTGCCTGTTCTGATTTGACCAAGGAGCTTTTTTATACTTTTTTTCCAGTTTTAATTGAAATCACTTCAAAAATATTGCATGAATTTTAATGAGCCACATTCAGTGCTGCATACACCATCGCTTTTGTTCCCCCTTTTTAATTTTGCATAGCCCACGTCAAGGCCATTTTAGGATTTGTGTAGGCGTACCTACTTCTATCTTAGCCCAAGAAACCCCCCTCCACACACACTTACACACAGGCGCGCACACACACACGCCACACACCCACCTACACCGGCATTGTCCTCAGAAAACGTGTGCACGTGCTCTGAAAGCTCATCTATGGATGTTTCTCCACAGCAATAAGCTCCTTGGCTGCAGCCCTGCCCACAGACTGAAAGCAGTTAGTTCATTAATGGTAATGTGGCACATTAAATAAAAGTCAGAGGGGCATCTCCTGAGCTCAGGGTTTGCCACACAGTGGGCAATTAGAGAAAGTGATTATACTGTCGAGAGGTTCAGATGTGCTCCCTCATTCAGATAGTGGTGCCACTCCCTTTGATCTCAGGCCTATGGAGGAGGTTAAGGATTCAGTGTGTCATGCATCTTTCATTTAAGGCTTGAAGAGATTGTACCCAGATATTCAGGAACATACTGTAACAGTTTCTCTTTGTTCTGTAACAAAAGATTGAAAGCCAAAGATAAAGCGGAACGGCAGCAACATTTACCTGGAAAATATGTCAGTTTTAAAGAGTGTTTGTACAGAGCTTTCATTGTTTGAGTGACAACATTGCAGTAAACTGCTGTCCTCACTACTGATTATGTTGTTCATATTATCATTACGGTATCAGCGTAGCAGGGCTATAACAAAACCCTACTCCATCACATCAGTGCTGGAGAGATGAATGGCCTTTTTCTGGCAGGCAATCAAATTCATTACAACTTTGCATATTTTTATTATGTATTTTTATGTGCATATAATCAAATGAAACTAGAAGGATATTAGTCACACGATGAAAAACCTCAAATCATTCACTGTAGTTAGATTCCTATCATTATTCTTTACTCCACCTGGCTAAGACCTTCATGTGTTTTTCTAAAAGACTTATTCATGAATCCAACGATTTGTACACTCAAGGTTGACTTTTCAAAAAATAATTGTCTCCTGCTTCAGTTTTAAACGTGAGGATTTTTACTTTTGTTCTTTTATTTCAGAAGAGTGTAGCCTCAGGGAGAGTTCAGGATCTGCCCCCTCACCAGCAGAGCCCCTGCGCCGCTCCATCGGTCCAGGTCTTTGTCGTGACCTGCAGGTTGGGAGCAGCTGGGAGAGTAATGACGGGTCCGAGCCCCAGCTCACTCTGCAAGAAGAGGTGTTCACTTTCTCATCCCAGCCACACTCACCCAAACGAGGGCAAGGCCAGGGTGAGCAGGAGAAGATGGAGATGGGAGATGATCCGGTTCAGAGTGGAAGGCGGTATGAGGCCCAGCCCGAGGATGACTTCATCGGCAGTGAGAGTGATGAGGTATGTCTGATCTTTGTAGGGGCCCGTGCACACTGCCAGTACTTAATGTGCACATTTGAAAAACACATGATTTGTCTCTTAGCAATGTAATCTGATCTAATATAATCTCAATGAATCATCAAATATTCAATGTTGTTATAATATTTCACATTATATCCACATTTTGATTCCATTCAGTTTGATTGGATTCATTGATCAGTGGCAGTTAACTGCAGAATACCTTAACTTCAAAGTCAGGGCGGTCATTTATTGTCAGAATATTTAATAATGGTTCTGAGACTTATAATTAAGATAAGTAGTTTTTCTATTGCTGAGCACAGAAATCTAAAGTGTTGAACCAAGTGCAAAGACCTTCAAAGAAATGCTAATTGCTTTCACTTATTTAGAACTTTATAATAAATCAGATTATTCTGACTTAAGAACCCAAATGTAGTTGTGAAGCTGATTAGTTTAAAAAAATGTGTTGCATTAAATGTAATGTGACCTTTGAATGTTAAAGAAGAAAATCCACTGCTTAAACAAAAGAAACCTTTCCAGAAACTGATTCTGGAAATCTCTGTTGCATGCATATGTAACATCTCATGTTTCAATCTTTATATATACAGTCTATGGTTTCAATATGCTTTGTTTAACTTGTGATAACATCCAGAAAGTATCAGTTTATTTCCTGGTCATTTGAAATGGAGTCAACAGGAAGCCTGGGAAAATGCCCCTTTTCCATTGCTATGTGTGCATGTGCAGATAAACATCTATAGAGCTCACATCAGGTTGATCTGGTAAGAACAACAGTACACAGGTTCTGTTTGCTCGTGTTACGGTGACATTTGAACACTTTCCCTGAAGTTTCTTTTCAGCCCTAACCAGAGTTGACATTTAGAATTTGCACTTTTGTTTTTGAAGAAGGGCTTTATGTCTATATGTACCTCTGTTGAAACATTTTCATTACGGCTGGTTTTCTGCCGGTGTTCATTGATTACACGCCACAAATAGATTGTTATTAGCTTATAACCAACAGTGTTTCGTTGTACTACTTCCAAGAAAAACTAACGAAAAAAGAGGAAAATATACAGTGTGCTTTTTGCAAGAGAGAAGTCATACAGCACACTGTTCCAAAACTGATTTGAAATGTTGCCCTAAAATGAGCCACCCAAACACTTCCAAAATTAACAAACACCCGCCAACCATAGCTTGTTTTTTTTTTGGTATAATGTTACTACTGACGTTAAACAGCTGAGGTTGAAGGGAATTGGATGACTTTTTTAATTACAACATTTCACAATGAAATAACACTAAAAGTGTGTCTATGGGGGGTGATTAATGGAGCACTTTTTCAAATTAACACATTAAAATCAGCTCCCATCACTCTGCATGAAGTATAGTTAAAAGGTGAAGAATAAAGCATGCACTTTCAATACTGTTAAAAAAAAAAGAGTAAGAAATTGGATCTAGTAAAATGCTCAGTGTTTTGAAACTACCAGCAGGAAGAAGGGCATTTGAAGTGTTATGCTTCTCACGTACAACTTTTCTGTGAGATGGTCAGTTTGGAAGTGACTATTCTTCAGAGGCGAAAATGAGCCACGCTTCTGTAATATCCAAAATAAACACAGTTTATCTAAAAGAACACAATGGCTTCTTTTTTTTGATATCCCCAAAGATCATATATTGGATAACCACAACTTCTTCAAATATAGACTGCTCTCCAACAGGCTGGAGCATGTAGTAATGTGTTTCTGTCGTATATTTGTATGAAGGCTGTTAAAGCAAGGCTGTTTGTGGTGAAGCACGAAGCTGAAAATTGCACATTGCCCCAGAAGGTGGAAACATGTGGAATAACTAGAGTTATTGTTACTTATTCCAATTGAGCAAAGATTTGTTTTTGAACTATAGTCCCATTATGGAGCTGTTTATCTATGTGTAGGTCTTTCAGATACTTTTAAGCAAATGCAGTGTGCTTGTTTCAAAAATATCCTCAATATTACTTTTTCTTGATTGGTTGTTTCTCAGGAAAGATCAAGCATACCAAATGGCAATCAGCAGGGCTGGGATGGAAAGCAAATGATCTGTCAGCACACTTTTAAAATCTCAATTTATCCAAGACTTTTATTTATTGGTTTTTCCAGGAAAACTCAAGGATAGCCACTGCTATCGGGTTCTGCAAAATGTAAGTGTTAAGGCACCAATTGTTTCACTTAAAATATATACCCATTAAACGTATTGAGGAAATAAGGGGCTAATCATAATTAGGGATTAGTACACTTCTAAACAGCTGTCAATAAGGCATGAGTATTGCTGAAATTGCTGTTAAAATATCAACACTATTGTGAATAAACTAATCCAGTGTGTGCCCTTGGCTCTGTCGCCCAGATCAGACGTTTCAAACGGACTACAGAATCCCCTCGCTCCCTTTGTCTTCGGGGTTATGAATGTGAATTGAATAATTGCAAAATCTGCTGAGATATCAGAAAAGCAGCTAAGTTATTACCGAAATCTATCAACACTTGTTCTGTAAATTATTAACAGCAGGATTTTTCTTTACCTTTTCAACACTGTGCAAAGATGTTCAGAAGAAAATGGTAGTAGGGAGAAGAAAGGGACAAGAGGTCATTTTGGTTCTCACAGTGACCAGCTTTTCATTTGGTCAGTGAACCCTAGGAGTGGAGAGGAGGGGGAGAGAGTGACCAGTAAGGATGGAGAACTGGATGGATTTCTGGGTTTCAATTAAATGAATCCCCACTGGTGGTATTTGGTATGTTGGGTGAAGACTTTCCTTCTTGGTTTGTCCCAAATTCTGTCTTCAGGCAGGGGCTTAAATGGCTCCGTCCTGGTTTCCTCTGTGAGCCCTGATGGAAGCCCTTCTGTTTATGAAATCCTGTTGGTTTTACAGTAGTTAGCTTTGTATTAGCATTACTCTTTGTCAACGGCTCATGGTAAAGGTGAGTGACTTCCACAAAGTCTATACACCCCCAAAATGACCTTTTTTAATCAGTGGATCGAAGTATTATGCACATTCTAGAGACATTTGTAAAAGCTTCCTAATCTCAGGTCCAATTCACTAGCTCAGTGTAGTGACACAACTAAAGGCTTGATTCATCCTGTCCGAAGTAATAACAGACTGTGACTGTGGTTAGCCATCTAGCAGAAGTTGACCTGATTTTGATTTCTATTCATTTATGGTAGGTTGCTCATTTCTTGGAGCAATATCATCTTTCAAGTAGTTGCATCAGTTTCATGCAATTCTTTTGAGCTAACATTTGTTCAAAGAGAAATATTAACGGCAAAACAAAGCAATGAACCTGCAGTGTGCATTATGAACTATTTTGAAATGGATAAGAGACAATAGAACCAATGTAAAAAAAATAATATATATATATATATATACATTCAGGAAAATGCAATAATAAAACCTGAACAGATGCAGCAGTGCAGCGACTACTTTCATGATACTCATACTCATTCATTGTTTATTCACTTGCACTTGTTACAATGATAAAGCATAGACAGAAAAGAGAAAACAAATAACAAGGAGCGAGTGAGATAAGAACCTCGAGGTGCTTATGATAACCTTTCACCCCGAAAAAAACAAAGCTCAGAGATGAAAGAAAATGCCTCAAAAAGAGACGGCTGGAGGAAGAAATGAAGAGATAGTGTCATTTTGAGGGAAGCTTCAAACTGTGTAATTGATGAGAAACAATGTCTATATTATGAACTGAAAAAGTGTGTGCTTGCTGTCTGGGTGTAAGTATTATACAATTGTAATCTTCTGTATTTTAGGGAGAAATGCAAAGGCTGGTGTTAACATTTAAAATATATAACTGCTTTGAATGTAAACTTGCATCACTGTGGCGGCCTGTTCATACGGTTTACCTGTGTTTGGTGAGGTGGTTTTTAGTGTAGGATTTTTTTTTTTTGTGAAAGTTTTCACGCTTTTGCTTTTTTAACTTTTCTTACTGTGAAACTGGGTCACACTTGGAATCTATTGTTACTGTTGTGAATCCAGCTGCCACCCTCAGTAAATGAGCAAACTTCTCTGAATCACATGTCTTTCGATGGCGAGTGTTTGATATTCAAAACTCTTTTTCAGTGGAGTGTTCCTGAAATATTGAAAATAAGTATAACCTGATTGGTACGTGACACATCGTGAAGTGCATCACAGTTTAAAGGGGGGGGGGGAGATTAGCACACTTAAAGAGAATTCCATTACCCTTTTGAAATGTAAGGTTAATTTAAAGCTAAGCCACCAACACCCGATCAATCCCAATGACTGTTAGACATCTCATTATCATATTTAATTAAGCCAACATCAATCTAAAGGACAGAACACAACATTAAAGTTGTTCAGGTAACGATAGAAGCAGCCTACTCTTAGGTCATTACTAATCATCCGTTTTTACAGTGGGTTTTACAATCATTTAAAAATCAACAATTGTATTTCTCTGTATTTCTTTAAGGATAACAGCTTCACCAAAATCAACCATGCTACTTCAAGATCTCCTAGTCCATATTTGGATGGTCAACTTGAAGTCCACCCTGAATCTCAAAACATGGACCAAACAGCACCAACGGAGCTCAGTCCAGCTTCCACCGGCATGCAGTCTCCATCCAGTGGGGGGGCGGAGGCAGCTGAGATGGCCCCCACACGCTGCCTCTCACCCAGTGTGACACCCAGAAGGCAGGAACACAAGTGTGGCCCGCGTGGATCAGACACACTGAACCAGTTTGCGGATGAGAACAGCAGTGTCACGCTTTCCAGAAGTCTCCTGCATGAAGTCAAATTAAATGCCTCCACACAGAACAAGGTACTGCTTCTATATACAACAGGCTATGGCTCTATTTTGTTTGTGACAGAGAGGCAGAGCTAAGAAGGACTCTTGGAAAAGTTTGTTACACCGTGCTGAGACGGATCAGACTACGGACTGTTGCAAATTGAGGTTGGCCACTGCTCCAGTTGAAAGATCCAGGATCAGAGGATTGTCAACTGGAGCGATCACAAGGCCTGAGGGGAGATCAGTCACTTGGCTGTTGCTTTCTGCATTTACGCGACTCACTGCTGAGACAAGTCCCAGCATCCTTCTACGGTACAGCTCCTAGCTGATGATTTGTGCCGACTCCGGCAGGCAGCATGCAGTGAAAGCTTTGACTGAAAGGTTGTCAGAAAAATATGACAAGGATTTTGTTTCCCTCCCTACAGCCCTGGTTTATTGACTGCCATTGATTCGACAGCAGGGAAACACTAGGCTTCCTTGCACAAATCCAGTTAGCATAGCACTCTCTTAAATCAATAGAGCCACTGTTAAAACACATTTTATTTAGAGGGTAAGGAGTAGTGTCCAAAGCCGCCTTGAGCTCTGTCTGAGACCACTGTCTGCTGTTTTTCTCTATTTTGTTGTTTGCACAAAGCATTGTATCAACTATGTGGAGAGTGTATCTGTGGTTCTGACTAATTGAAAGACATTCTTTTTGGGATTTCCTTCAAATAAGTCATGTATTTGTGTACAGGTGATCAGTTTAAAGGAAGAAGGAGCCAACACCGTACACCCTAATGACTCCAGTGTTTACAACTTACACCCGCTTAGCAGTCTACGAACACATGGGGAAGATGAAGAAGAGCTTCGAATGCTGGCAAGTCTCAAAAGAGAGCATGAGGAAGATGAATGTAAAGCCTCAGGCCTCAGTGCATCTCTGATCCAACACTGTAATGTCAGCGTTAGCATGAGCAGTGACGACGCTTCTACCTGGACCCACATCTCCAAGGTCTGTACCATCATCCTCTTCTACTAGCACTCATGTGCAGCTCGTCTCACTATTTACAATCATTAGCACGTTGTCCTTCTCTCTATCGCCCGTGTGGAATAATTATTTTGACCCCGGTTGATCCTCACCCTTGTTAATTTACATATCAAGCCCCGGACTTATGCAAACGTGAAGTGCTAATGCACCTTTTTCTCCGGTGTATTTTCTGCATTACAAAAGATTATGGAGATCGAAACACATTGATTGGCCTCTTATAGCTCTTAAAAGCACACTGGCATAATATCCACGGTTTCCCCCAGTGACTAGGAAATATTTAGGTCATTTGAAATGATCCACACAAGTCCTTTTAGAATTCAAGGATGGTGCGGTTTGCTCTTGGCTATTGAAGGTCATTTATATCTATGGGCAATTAACATAAGCACATTGCACTTATGAAGAGAGAACACTGCCCTGCTGGGTCCACTGCACGATCCCCAGTGAATAGAATGATTACAGATGCTGGGGTCATAGCCCTGTTACTATTTCTCTACATGCAGGTATCCATTAATATACTGAGATTCAAGCAGAACTGTGACTTCATGCAGGTATTATCTTCTCATGGTTTCTCCAGAGGACACAGTGATGGGGTGTCAAATCAAATGTTGTATCTTCGTACTGTACCCTCAGAACAGTTTTCCACGGTGACAGGTTACATTTCCACTCGACTTGAACAAACCCCGATGTGATCCTTTCCAAATCAGTCACAGTGGTGTACTATTCAAATAAATATGGCAACAGCACCACCATCAGTATATTAATAAAATGCTTTGCCAAAAAGAGAGAACACAGAAAAGTAATTTATTTAACACAAATATTGTTCTTATTTGATGAAAAGTTTTGAAAAATAAAACTTAAAGGTAGGGTAGGTAAGAATGGAGAAACCAGCTCAAGTGCGCTAGAATTTGAAAATACACAACCGGAAAAAATCTGCCACTTCCTTACAGAGCCCCTCCTCCAACACACACGAACGCGCACATGACCAATGAGGGCACGAGATAAGTTTGTGCACGAGATGGAAGGCTGACAGGCAGGTAGGCCATCCAGTTATTTGACCCGGGCCGGCTCAGATGATTGGTCGTGCTTTTTACAGCGCTACGGCTTCCACAGATGACATTTTTTTATGTATTTATTGTCAAAGCATTTAATATATTCATGGCTATCGGGATGTTAAGAGCATTCCATGGAATATAACAAAAAGTGTTTCTGAAGTGAATTACCTACAAATATAATATACCTATAAATAAAAACCTAACAGGTGTCTGTCAAAGATAAAAACAAGAAAAGGTTTGGGGGCCTTGGAAGTGAATAGTCACAAGCCATGTCTTGCCTTTAGATGCTGTGATTTAAGTGCCTGCTGTTGCCGTCTTTAGTGGTGTGTCCACTTAGACACCTTAATATGTATTTGATGCACATTCTCCCTGTGGGCACATGACTGAGGTAAGAACTGCCAAATCAGAGGTTCTTCGGATGGACTATGACGTCTGGTTAAAGCTACAGATGGCAGTATGAAAAAAGATGACACTCAAAAATAAGAAGTCTGACCAAAATCCTTTTTGAGTTTAATACTCCCTCTGATATCAGACAGAAGGTGGGTCCATTCAAAGGTCTGTACCAAGGCAAATACTCACCCTGTCTTAGCTTGGAAAATGTCAGCTTCTTTTAGGGCTTAACGCTATATTTCATCAACATTAACATTAAGTGTGCATGCACATTATTCAAATTGGAGGACTTGCAATGTCGTCTAATGAAATATATTTTTGCTACAACTGTTTTACTGGTTGATGATACCAAAAGAAAACTGCCATGGTTCTCACTTTCCTTGAGCAATCCAATGCAATGTTTCCCATTAATTACCTACAGTCTGGGTTTGTCTGTTTTTAATAATAGAGCGTATATATTTTTGATCTTTTCATGAGTTGGGTCTGAGTCTGTCCACTCAGTGGGTCAAAGATGGCCGCCCTTGGTCGGAGGTTCCTCTACCAGTTCTGGCATATCCATGCCTGGTTTTATTTTTGTCAGCCACAGCTGGCTATAGGTTTGAGTAGGTTGCTGTGAAAAAGGCTTGGGGTGAAAGAGTCTAAGAGCTTCACATAGCTTGGACCTTGCCCCCTCAGTGCAAAGTAATGCTGCAAAGTCAACAACCCACCCTATTCGTATTAAAACACTGATCCTGTGTGTTGTAACCCCGCCTTGTGGGTGTGACTGTTCTACAGTATGTGTCATTAATGTTTGTATCTATAACCTGCAGCCAAAATGTAAATGATCGAATGGTTAACTAGAGCAGGAAAATTGCCACAACTGATTGTTAATGTGAGCAGTGTGAAAGACTAAATCTAGTTTTTAGAATCTACACCCTAAAAATGACACTAGATAATGATCAGATTTAGCTTTCCATATAAAGATGATGAGATGCCTCTTCTTCTGTCTAACATTCTGCCAGTCGGTGTCTGTGCCAGAAGCTCTCCAAGCCATGGCTTAAACATTTAGAGCAACATAGTCAATGTTCAGAAGATGAGTTCAGTAATTGTACAGTGAAACAACTCTTTACCTAAACCACTACATGTCCTTTACCTTTTATGTCACATATAAATAAGTTATATCCTGAAACACCCACATTGGCATTCAGCCAGGTTCCTTTGCGGAGAAAAGTGTCTGCTGTCGCTTCACTAAATAACACATGTAAGAAATTCCAATTCTGGAAGCAAGCTTCTTAATTTAGGTGTGCAAGGATGAGTCCTAGATAGTTCTTAAATCAAAGGAGGATAATTAATATTAGATGTGTTAGGAGAGGAATACATTTTAGATGGGAGAGGAGTGGCAGGTCTACAATGCGGGGGTTAGTAATAGGAATAGCATATATATAGACAAAAAAGAATAAAGTGGGGCATATCCAACAGCAATCACCTGGAAACTGACTTGATAAAAAAGGCTGTAAGATGGATGTTAAAAATAAATTATCTGGCTCCAGAACAGTTTGGTTGGATATTGCCAAACAAGTCTGTGCAGCCCAGAAATGCAGTGCAGCAAAAACAAATGTTCTGATTCAAAGGTACTTGCTGAGTTTATGTCTCCATAACAGAGGGCAGGCAAAGAGCCAGAAATGATTCAGTCTACTACAATGCTGATCAGAGACCAGCGGAGCTCTTTTGTTTATAGCGTCATTTGACTGAGCATGCAGGGTAGCAGATGAATCTCAGGAGTGGTTAATGGTCAAACGTTAGAGGTCAAGACTGGGGCCCTTTCTCAATGTCGAGTATACCTGCTGCAGAGCCATTATTTCAAGTATACTACGTCATCGAGTGCGGCGCCGAATGCTGGGCATTTAACATGCATTTAAACAGTCCTTCGGCGCCACTCAATGACGTAGTATACTTGAAATAGTGGCTCTGCAGCAGGTTTACTCGACATTGAGAAACGGCCTCTGACTACATTTTCTTTACGGTTTTAAGGAAAAAGGCGTAGGCAAAGCTGGTGTATAGCCAGAGGTGGGAGAAGTACTCAGATCTTGTACTTGAGTAAAAGAAGTACCAGAGTGTAGGAATACTCTGTAAAGTAAAAGTCCTCCGTTCAAAATGTTACTCAAGTAAAAGTACAAAAGTATTAGCATCAACATATACTTACCGAAGTAGGACTTATTATGCAGATTGACCTATTTCAGAATAATATATATTATATGTTTTGATTCTGCAAAGTAACAAAAGATATTAAATAAATGGAGTGGATTAAAAGTACATGATTTACCTCTGAATTGTAGTGGAGTAGAAGTACAACGTAGCATAAACAGAAATTCTTAAGAAAGTACAAGTATCTCAAAATGTTACTTAAGTACAATACTTGAGTAAATGTACTTAGTTACTTCCCACCTCTGTGTATAGCAAACTTTAAGTTTAGACTTTTTAAAGTTTTTTTTCTGAGATGTAATACTGAAGATTTTGTTCCAAGTCTTCACATAGTCTTCGCTACAGACAGCCAGTGCTGCTGTGTTCACACACAGACCACATTTTCTTCAATTAAGAGGTGATCAAAATAAGTAATGTATTTCTGTTAGCAGCAAATGTATTTTTAAGACTTCTGGACCCAAGCGTTCTCTTTTATTCTGTAGTCCATGCAACTTTAACTGACCATTTGAGGCTCTGGGATTTACATTACAGATAGAGTACAGAAATGGTTCAGCTCCTACTTCCCCAAACGATTTGTTCCCATCACCTGACAGGTGACTCATCATCATCATCAGTACACATTACATGCACAATTCCACTGGGTACAATTTTAGGTGCGGCCTTATTTTTAGAAGAGGATTAGATAAAGAAGGGACTGGAGCACGCAGATAGCTACATTTACTTAAGCAATGCACGGACTTCAGCTTCAGCATGACTGCATCTTGATCAACGTCATGTAATGTAATAGCCTTTAAACAGGCACTAGATTTAAATAGCCTCCTGAGGCTATAATATGGTCTTTAGCTTTGACAAGATGGAGAGGGTAATACACTGAATACCACCTCGCACTGAATGTGAAATATTTATTATCTTATTTCATACAGCTCACACAGAATGTACCTTTTCATGTTTTAAAAAGCCCAACTAACAAATACAACCCAGCTCCAATTATTTCTCACCAAACAATAGTTAGTGTGCAATACATTTGTGAACACATTAAAGATTGAAATGAACCCTTGATCTTGGTTTGTTTACCCTACATTGTTCTCCCCTTTGTTTTTCTACTTCTTGCTGTGGACTTCAGGTTTGTTTTGACATGACACACACATATATTTGTGTTTGTTTTAGAGAGAATGTTCCTTGCATTTCTTGATGTTGGTTCTTGATCTCTGTGGGGCATACACAGGTGTAGGTGGGGCAGTTTTGATGATGCTTGCCTATAGATAGGGCATTGTTGTGATATTGGGCACCTTGGCTAATGTTATGGACATTGGTCCCTTCACAAAATATAGGTTGTTCCCTGTAATAGTTCGTCCATCAGAAGTATTTCTGATGTAAGACAATGATAATATGTTCAGTAATACACTTAAAACTTAGTCTGATAGTGGTGGATGTGTACTTGAACTATGAGTATTTGAGGACATTTTTTAACCAAACATTTCATTTTTTTCTTATATTTCTGATCTAGCCAGTTAATCAGGATCACCACTATCAGAAGGAAATGAACCCACTCTGTCAATCAAACCCTAGGTAAGCATGTGACATACACACACACACACACACACACACACACACACACACACATTTGTAGCATAAATAATCTGCTGAGCTGTGTATGTCTAAAAATATAATAAAATCAGCAATACAAGAAAAGGCTGACACAACAACACTTGTGTATTGATACAGAAGAGATCTTTAAAGATAACTGACATGTGGTCCCAAGGAACTGGGTTGTTTGTAACCAGGTTTTGTTGAGAACACGTGACAAAAGACTGGTGTATTTTATATATTGCCTTATGTAGTTTGTCTTTGCTTGCATTTACATGAAACTCCCTGACGATCACAATCAGATAATAACCAGTCACTGCAGAATTAAGGCTAAATGTCAACTGTCAGATAGATATGCAAATCAAGGCTTTCTGGCTCACAGATTTGTATGAATAAATTGAGCGTGTTGTAGTTATTTTCCCTTAACTGCTGTTGTCATTTTCATACTTTTGAAGTTGATATGAACAGTGAAACAAATTAGGAAATAGGAAACATTGCTATAAATCTTTATTATTCATATCCTTGATATGTTCAACTTTTCCATGATTTTTCCTTTTTTTATTCAAATTAATGTTCAAATTTGACACATTTTCATTTTTTTCATTAATTTGTCCTCTCTTATCTTCTCATACATACAAAGATGTAGAAACCTCATTCAAGCTTCTAAATGTACCACATCTTTCAAAAAGTCTGGGTTTATACAGTCAATTAGAAAAACCCTCAAACCAACTCCTCTTTAACTTCTTCTTAATCATTACCACATTCACATAGAAACTCCACTCAGACTTTGAAAGTATTTTGGACTTCCTCTGATAAATTAAACTTGTTTAAATGTTTCTATACTTTTCACACTATCTCAGTTCAGGTTTATGCCATTTCAGAACTTGGGGGATTTCTACATAAGTTTAGAGCTTGCTTGAACATTTTATTTATTATACAACTAAAGCAGGCCTTGTTAATTCCCGACAACAACCCGAAAATGAGCGATGAAGAGAAGAAACGCACAAAAAAGGAACATTTTGTGGCAATTAAAACAGCATCAGTATAATCTAAATAATTTGGCTCCAGTATACACATTGACCAAAGTCTATTTAGTCTTTGTTCTTCTCAACTATTGCATACCAGAAACAAATATTGCAGTCTCAGTTTCCTCAATAACGTGCAGCCTTTACTTCATACATCAAAACATGTATGCTTTGAAACAGACATCTCGTGGCACTGTTAGCCTTAAATGACATGAATGAGAGACACACTGCTCAATTGATTCCTCCTTTATTAACTGAGACCAGACATTTCACGAGGGAAGCATAAACAGTTACTTCTCTAACCTGCTCTAATCATCACACTGTGGCACTAGGCGCATGCATTTTACACTGTGTGCAAAGTAGGGTCTCCTGTCTTGCAAACATTAAGCGATAGTGGTTAAAGTCTTGAGCTGAAAGTGGTAGGATGAGAGGTCTCAGTCTAATCTCTGTGAAATGGAATTTCAAGGACGGGAGTCACATGACAGTTACCGTCCCCATGGCAACATTTAATTGCAGGTTAAGATGAGTTTATAAATCCAGTTTGAAACATGCAGACGTTTTTTTAAATTCTTCCCTACTTATTAATACTTTGACTTTAAAGGTCTCCTATCATGCAAAATGCACTTTTTGATGTCTTTTATATATAAATATCTGTCCCCGGTGGGTCAGTGAACTCACAAAGTGTCATAAAATAAAATAAAACATTTCCTCCTTACCCCCATCTCTAAAAACGGGGGTACAATGGAGCTGATCCAGATTTGCGTCGGATATGACGTAATATCGGAAATGTGGGCTGGCTTTACACCCACGGCCCTATCAGAAACGTCGCTATCAGAAACAATGCACAACGTATTTTAGAAGTAATATGGTCTTTGTTTACATTAGCAACCATCGCTAACACTCAGAGCTAACCTGTAGGCCTACTGGAGAGAGTATGTGTAAAAAAAGCAGGATATAAAAAGGTACTCACCTTGTAGTAAACCCGCAAGAAAAGAAGCATTTGAGCTCAATACTGTTTCAGAAATAATCCTTAAAGTGGTTTGGAACATATATGGCGTTTCATCATGGCAGCATTTAGCTGCATCTGAGCAGAGCAGTCAGCCCGCATGCTCAAAAGGGGGCGGGGCCAGCAGAGAATACAGCGCGGAGCTCGCTTTAAGCGTGCCGAGCCGTGCGGGGCCCGTTTTTGGTTGCGTTTCCACTTAGCGTAGTACCGGCTAGCGGGTACTATTTCACAGTTTTCCTGGCCCCATAAAATCGAGGTTCTTTCCGGGCCAACAACCAGGCTGAGTATGCTAAACTAGAGAGAGAATCGCTGGCAAGGGGGCTACAACTACAACAAGATGAACATATTTGACCGTGATTTAATTGTAATACACGTTTCAAAATGATGCCGAAGTAACAACATACTGATACCGGTTAGTAAAAACCATGAATTCATGCTTTGACAAGTCTGCAGACAGACGGCAGGCGAAAAACCTTTTTAAATGCGTGTTGTCTAAATGGAGATCGGCTAAGCTAACGCAGTATATGCTCCAACCGTCCACACTCACAACAACGGCCTATACAGACATAAATAAACCAGCGACTGTATTCGCCATGACACAGGCAGTCTGTGGTTTGTACTTGTTTAACTTTTGTCTAGTTTCTGAACAGATATGAGGAGCTGTGAGCTCTGAGGGCTAACAGCTAACGGCTGATGTTGATTTTGTGTGGTTCGCATTGAAGATGACGTCACGGCTCCGCCTACACTGCGTTACTATAGTTACTACCCCAGTTCCTAAACTGTTATGGAAATGCGACCATAAAGTGAGCCAGTCCTAACGAAGCCATACCGAGCGAGGCCGTGTAGTGGAAATGCGCCATTACAGGGCTGAAATAGAGGGATATGAGGGATGTCTACAATGCATGATCTGTTTGGTATTTTGAGCAAAACACATCATAGACATGTTTTTTATATTTGTATATATCTGAGACCCATAATGTATGCCTATAAATAGCATGAAAGGGGATCTTTTAAAAGCCAATAATTCAGTTAAGTCTCTGCTTTCCAACAAACCCTCAAATTCTTCACATCTTTCTGACGTTGCATTATTTAACCTTTAAGCCAACAATTTAGTTCTCATTCATAACACTCCGTTCGATGTCTCACTATGGGATGCGCCTCATCGCGGAGCAAACAGAAGCATCAATCTCATTACGCCAATCCTGATTGGCTGGAGATCTTGACGTCAGCGTCAGGGAAATCACCCCCTATAAGTAGCTTGCGCCACAACGCATGCGCCATTCAAACACCTCTTCTCGCTTCAGAGCACATCTCTATGGTAGCCGGACAAGCTTCACGGTCCACAGACTGAACCCAAATATCCATTTCGGTCGACGGGCGCTTGCCGGCTACTCCTTCTGCTTCGCAGGAAGACTGTAATTACTAACGCTAGTTATTGTTGAAATCGACCTCGCCGCTCTCTTTCCCCGGAAAGTAAGCTAGGTCTGATTTTTTCAAGCTAGCGTTAGCTTGCTCCCTCACTACCGACACCACGGTAGCGAGGAAGTCTTTTCTTTTCTCTTCCCCACGGAGGAGGAAGGGATTAAAAGGAGCATACTGCCACACCAGTCAGTATTCTCTGGGAATAAAAGACCCACACCGTCCTTTTCTCCGGATTAAGGACAGGGTGGTTACCTCTTTTTCTCCCAACCTACCTGTTGAGAGCGGGTCCTCTCCACGCCACGAGGCGAACAAGATGGACGCCCCTCTCCCTCACACCAGAGGAGTCAGGGACTCGGTGGCTCGACTCTGCGGCTGCGGGTTGAAGATCTCGGGCACAGACACACACCAGGTCTGCTCGTCCTGCCTCGGGCTGGAACACGCCCGAGGCGCTATCGACAACCCCGGCTCGTGCGGACATTGTGTCCGCTTCACCGTAAAGAGCCTCCGCCGACGGCTAGCACGCCAAGCTAGCCTGTCGGAGCAGGAACCCCCCATGTCCTCTGACCTGCTGGCCGGCAGTCAAGACGCGGGGGCATCTGCCACAGAGAGTGAACCCCTCTCCATGTCGGTCTGGGGCTCAGTATCTGCGATGGCCGCAGAACCGGATTCCCGCGCCCTGGCAGGCCGGGACCCGGTGGCGGCAAGACACGCGGGAACGGGACCCCACGCTTTACCGAGCTGGGGCTCCCAGTTAGACCTCACCATGGTCTCACCCGCGGAGGATGTCCTCGAGCTGAATTACGACGAGGACGAAGAGGACGCCTCGGTGTTCCTCCTGTCCGAGTCGGATGAACGTGAAGAGGACATCTTCATGTCATCGGCTCAGGCTGCAAAGCCTGGAGCGAGGGCTGCTTTCCCAGACGATAGCATACCAGCTTCGCCCTGTCTGAGTATGGACCTGCAGGCCGTGTGCAAACGCGCTGCGGCCAGACTCGACATCCCGTGGCCTGAAATGGCCAAGGAGACCTCCAGGTCCCGCTACGAAGGGAAACATTTTCCCCAAGCAGCGCGGACAAAGAGACAACTCCTTCCGGTCTTCCCGGAGATGTTGGATGAGGTGTCGGTCTCGTGGAGAGACCGGCCCTTCAGCAACAAGGTCCCAATCCAGGGTGCCTCCTCCCTAGACTGTGACGGAATGGAGAAGCTCGGCCTGCTCCGCATACCGCCCATGGAACCGCTGGTAGCAGCCCACCTCCTACCGAGGATGGGCCCGTCACCAAGCAGGAACCCCACGCTGCCGGCAAAGTCGGACCGATTTCAGTCGACAATGACTGAACGGTCCTACAAAGCCGCAGCGTTGTCCGCCAGGGCCCTGAATGTGGCCTCGCTGCTAACCGCTTACCAAGCGGAGCTCTGCGAGGACCTGTCGGGTAACCCGGGTGCAGCCACTCTGGACGAGATGGCGGCGGTCACAGACATCTGTCTCCGTGTCCAACGCTGCGCCGTCCAGGCCACGGGTAAGGCAATGG